TCTCTGACTCTTGACTGCTCACACTCACACTCATCAAACTGTACTCCAACGCTTCACGACTCGTGACTTCTTGCAGCCCCACGTGGAATCCCGCTCGCTCACTCACGACTCACTCACAGACTGCATGGTTGGTGACTCAAGACTGGTCAACACACCACGGCCGGCCGCGCGGGCAAATATTTGAACGGGGAAGCTCTGCCGTACGAGAGACGCGCACGCCCGCTCGAAGCCTCAATTTTTTGGATTCAAGTTGCAGCACACTGGACGCCTTACATCAATGACTAGAACTCATCCCTTCGCAGTACATCCACATCATCCACACTTCCGATCTACGATCTGTACTGCGACGCATACACGAGCGAGCAAGCGAGCGAGAAGCAGCGCTTTCCACATCCGCTCTGATTGATCAACGTGGGGCTCTGCTCTCCTCCGGCCTGCGCTACTGCGGGTCCAGCACGCTTCCAAGTCTGCCAAGCTAGAACATCAATCATGGCCGGTCGAACGCAGGCAAGCACACAGCAGCCGCCTTCCAAGTCAGGAAAATCAGCACTGATGGAGAAGACCTCCTCTGCTCAGAAAGGCAAAATCAAGCCCTCTGTAGCTGTGGAGACAGGCACAGACGAGGAGGAGGGAGATTTGAACGAGAATGCTCATGATGATGAGGACGACGACGACGATGATGATGACGATGAGCAGGACGACGGAGTCAGCGAGGAGGAAGAAAGCGGTGACGATGGAGAAGTCTCGCAAGAAGGATTGGAAGCTCTGATGAAGGCATTGGGGGATGATGGGCTCAGCGCAGAGGATTTGGCTCAACTTCAAGCTCTTAGAGGAGAAGCAATTGAGGATGATGATGCTTACGACGACGACGGCGATGAAGAAGATGAGGATGACAAAGAAGAAGAAGAAGACGAGAATGATGAGGATGATGAAGACGAAGGGGAGCTTGAGGGTGCCGAGGAAGAAGTGGAGGAGGTAGAGAATCATGTTGCACCTCCCAGAGCCAAAGCGAGCAAGAGCAAGGCGAGCGACACGCTCGCTGCCAGTCTAGCACGGAG